TATATTTGTACATATTTCATTATTTTCCTATATTCATTATTATACTACAGTATTATTGTCTCATTAAATCTGTTTTCTTTTCCAACCCATAAGGTTTTCCAACCCCTTATTCTCTTTCTCTTCCCTTCTCAGGAGTGGAGAGGGGTTAATAGATAGCATCTGTCCAGCATTTAGTGGCCCACCCAGCCCTATACCATGACACTGTAGCTTATGGAAACCACTCAAGGGCACAGAATCTGAGCAGATCTGAAAACCAAAGGTGTTTTTCCAGCTCCATTGTCTCTCTCTTCTCACCCAGCCTTATTGAAAGATTGAAAGAAGCTAGCTCAGGAAGCTATTCAAAGGTAACTAAGTCAGTCACAGCCCTCCTGTTTTACTGCCCCATTAGTGTTTCATTGAACCCCCTTTTCAGAGGCCAGGAAACAGTGAGGTTAATGGTTATTGAACCTGACCCCTATGGGTTACAGGAAGTCAGATGAGGATACACCCCAGCTGAACTGGCTCTTCTTAGCCCCCTCAGGCCCTGAAACATCACCACATATTAAGAGAATGCTGGAACAGACTTTTGCTTCTGTGAGCTGCTCTGGAACAAGGTCAGGAGTTCAAGGAGTAGGGGAAGTGAGGGGCAGGGGGGAGGAAGAGTCTCAAAGCTTCCTCATTTGCTTCTACATTTCAGATAGCAGATTTAAAAGATGCAAACTTAAAAGCCAAGCTCTAACATACATGGAGAGAACTGAACAGCTACAAGCCAGGAAGGAAGAAAGGGAAGATACAAGTAATTTCTGTCTAACCTCTAGCTTCATCTTTCAGGCGCTGCACAGACTCGAGAAGGTTTTCTTTCTCGTCCAGCTCACTCTCCAGAAAAGCATTTCTTTCAATAGCCTGGTTTAAACGCTGTTCAAAATCTTCCAGAGACATTATAGTGGCTCTGAAAAAGAGTGCAGATGTCACTACCAGATCCTTCAAGCACACAGAGGAACTGCTTCTCTCACAAGAAAAGAGATAATGTTGTGGTTGTTTGGGTTGCTTTGTTTTATTATTATTTTTTTATTTTAGTTTGTAAGATATGACAGACTTCAGTGGGGGGAGTGGAAGGGAGGGGAAAAAAATATCACATTTCTCATCTCCCATGAACCTCTTCACCACAATCATCACTTAAGTGATTAATTCAGAATAGCAGTGCACAGCATCACAAACTGCTTGGACAGAACAGAGGTGGAAGAAAACACAGAAGGCGGGTCACCTTTTTGCTCTTTCCAAGTCATCATTTGCTTGCTCGAGTTCTCGAATGTATTTCTGAAGTTGATCTTTAATAGCTTTTGTCTGTGCCAAGTCATCTTCCAGCGCAGAGATTTGCCTGTATCTTTCAGAATGCTGCATTTCAATCTTTTCCTAATCAAGGGCATATCAAACAGGATATCAGGGATTTAGCAATGCATGTTCTCTTTCTGTGGCACTGTCTGAGCCCCTTTAAAGGCAGAGGCAGATGCTGTGAAGGCTTTTGAGAAACATCACTACACATGGTGAATGCCAACAAAGACAATTGCTCACATATTTCTGGGCTGCCAGCAGACAAGAGCTCTTTCTGTCACTCCTTACCAAAAAAATGGCACTGGGTAGCAGTCCCCAACCTGCACAGCCCAGGGTGGGTCCCTTGCTCTCCCAGACAATGAGATCCAGTATAATTTCTGCACCCCAAGAGCTTTAGCAACATGCAAAGCAGGATACAAGAGAAGCTTCTTATTTTCAACTTTAATAAAAAAATCAAACGGTACTTAGGAGCCTAAATAACATAAAATACATACAAGAGTGACACTGTTACACAGTGCTGCGGAACCAGCAGGATTCCCCAATGCCCTTGTGGTTTTATCAGCCCAAAGCAGGTTCTGCAGAGTTCTGGATCACAAAACATTTCAGGTGCAGTTATGCAACATGCTTTGGACATGAACCTAAACCAAACTGTTACCCTTTACAACATGTACACAAGGGTACATGTAAGAGAGGTGTAGGCAGGGGGGAAAGCTGAGTTTCTCCATCAAATATCTCTTTTGCTATTGCCTCTATATTGCACAGTTAGCTCCACATCACATGGCAGGGAAAGCTTCACAGCACACTGCCTACTGCAGCGTTTTACACTCCACCACCTTGCACTTGGACGTATCAGAGATTTTTTTGAAACTCCAGGGTTGTGCAAGTAGCATTTCTGAAATGTTTTCTCCATCCAGAATTTAAGTACAACACATCTGAAGTCACTGAAAACAAATCCACAGACTGGAATTTGAAAACCATCACACGTAATATAGCATGACTGATAACCTGGAGGTGGCTATTTTAGCACACAAAACAGTTAGATAAGGAGTATGGAAAGAAGTACCCATTCCAAATTAAGAAATTCTTATTTTATTACAGTGTGGTGACACTGCCATAATTCCAGATCTCTGAAGCATGGTTACATGCTGAATTTAAGAGCCCCCAACCTCTAAGAGGGATATTACTTTCAACCAGCTTTTTCAGGGCTCTCTAAACAAACCCTGCAAAACATTATTTCCATTTCTGCCTAAAAAGGCAGTGTAAACGCTGGCTTCTGAGGGGGGAGCAAGGACATGCACTAGGCTGGTAAGCTCAAAGACAGAAGCCGTGTGGGCCTGGCAAAGCTCACCAGAGTTGACCTAGATGCAGACATCAACCCTTGATGGGCTCACTTAACGCTGCTGCTCAATAGCTTCATGAGTTTAATGCTTTGCTCTTGATTTGATTCAGATAAAAGACCAGAACTGCAAGGTTTGAGCCTTAGTTTTTAGCCAATTGTAATAAACTATCGACTGATCCCGCCATCAATGGAGTCTCTGTTCCTTCACTGCAGGCTGTTACTGCAGTTTTCAGGCTGCATGAATAGCCAATTGTTAAAAGGTTTGTTTCAAGCAGAATACATCTTAACCAAGTTATCTACTGTGAAGAATAATTTAAGATTTTCTAAAATAGGTTTACTTTGAGGTTCTATGTTGTTTCCTCCTATTTTCATTAACTTCTTTGGCTGGTTCATTGTCCCCTCCTCTCATCCTAGCTCCACTACAGAAAAAATAGTCCACACTCCCCTCAATTAAATGAGCTGCAGGTTTTATTTTTGTCAAACTTACACCTTCTTTCCAATCCATTAGATACCATGGGTTTATGTGGCTACATGGAACAGTAGACCAATAGTCCATTCAACATGTAGAACATTTAATACTGTTAAGTCACTAATACAACAAGAACAAAGATAAGTGCAGCATAACAAATACAATGAAAAAAGCCTTGGAGGTTTTGCTGTCAAAAAGCAGTGGGTGGGATATCACTAAGTTGGTGCTAGAAGGATAAGACATCTGCCTGGAATGGAAGAGTATTTCCTTAAGACAGTGATTTGGACAACAGCTTAGACAAAAGGCATTGCAAATACAGATTAATCTGGTGATTAATCACAAGTGATTATACACCTGTATCCATACCTTCACTCCCATTGGCTCATTTTTGCATCCAATTGAGTAGAAGGAGTGTAATTAAATTAATCTCTGCTTCCACAGATATTGACCCAGCCCTACAAAATACTGTGTGTTGTTTCTTGGGTGACTATACCTCACCTTTTACTTAAAGGCCAACAAGATCCAACTTTAAAAAGGCATACCAATTTAAGTGATTTTTTTTTTCCAAGTTTAAGAAAACTTACCAGTATTTCCTAAACCTGTCAACCAGTACAGGGGATTGGCAATATCTTCAATGAGACTGAAGTGAGGCAGACTCATCATACTTCATACCCCAGATAGCTTCACTATTTCCTAAGCCACTCTGGTAAGAAGTTCAACCTCGGTAAGTCCATATCCCTTGTTTTATAATTATGGAAGTTAATGCTTTTCAGCTGTTTCTTAAGTTTCACAGACGGCTAAGTGTAAAGGAGAAATTATTTTTCCCCAAGTAACGAAACCAGGACTGAAATGGTTTTATGCCTCTCAGTTCTGTGTGTTACCCACCAGCTGCTGCTTCCCAGCTTATCTGTAATGCCAGATAATAAATACACAATTATGCAATAAGGGTTTAAAACTACCGAGTTTTCTTATGTAATGCAAGAACACAGTTGGAATGTTTGTATTTTGATTGTTCTGCAGTATTATCTGTGTCTGCACAATGCAGACTGCAAGAAAGCTGTGAACAAAAGCACCAAGTACATGGAAGAAGGAACAGAACAGCAGCTCTGTTATGTTCATATTTACTCTCACTGCAAACAATTTTTTCCCCTCTCAGTTCTATCCTAACATAGACACAACCTGCAAACAGGGGTTTGGGGACATTAACAAGGTATCCAGCACCCTCAAAGCAGACAACAGATTAGTATTTAATAATTTTTCAAGACTTTCTTTTGCAGCTTTCTGTTCAGTTTCTCTGTAATGCTGAAGGACCTCGTCCACAAGGCAAGCTGAATCTGCACATGCCTGTCTCATTTGCTGTTGCACTTAGGATGTGGAGATAACGAATGCATCATCCACTCTTACCTTAACTGACTCCAGTTCCACTCGCAAACGGTTGTTTTCTGACAAAAGGTCTCTGTTTCTGGACTCTGTTTGCTGCAGCTGAGTCTCCAGTTCAGCTTCATACTCTCGACTCCCTTCTTGGAATTCACGCAATTCCTCCTGTGTATCCTCAGCACTAGAGAGCAGTATCAGTAACAGAATTCATCATAACAAACAAAGAAAAAAAATATTTATTGTACACTCAAGATAACAAAAAACATACTGCCCTTTAACGTGAAAGGCTCTATGGCCTTCTCCAACATAAAACATAGAAAAATCCCAAAGTCTGTCCTCACACTTTATGTCTAGTTAAGCTTGTACATTGTCCACTGCCCTCTGCATATTTTATCTACTATTCACTCAATTAATAGTGAAATATCTACAAAGCCATTTTCAATTAGCAATAAAAAGTAAGAAAAAGAGAGCAAGATGGAAGGAAAGTAGTTCTTTCTTAAACAATTCTATTGAAATAACCCTTCAGCAAGCTAAACAAGCAGCACTGAAAGGATTTTGTCAGCGACATGGGCAGTGGGATCGAGCGCATCCTCAGCAAGTTTGCAGATGACACCAAGCTGGGTGGTGCAGTTGACACCCTGGAAGGAAGGGATGCCATCCAGAGGGACCTGGACAGGCCGGAGAGGCGGGCCCGTGCCAACCTCATGGAGTTCAACAAGGCCAAGTGCAAGGTCCTGCACCTGGGTAGGGGCAATCCCAAGCACAAACCCAGGCTGGGCAGAGAATGGCTCAGAGCAGTCCTGAGGAGAAGGACTTGGGGGTGTCGGTCAATGAAAAACGCAACATGAGCCAGCAATGTGCATCTGCAGCCCAGAAGGCAACCACATCCTGGGCTGCATCACAAGAAGTGTGGCCAGCAGGGCCAGGAGGTGATTCTGCCCCTCTGCTCTGCTCTGGTGACACCCCCCTGGAGCCCTGCATCCAGTTCTGGGTCCCCAACATAGCAAGGACATGGAGCTGTTGGAGCGGGTCCAGAGGAGGCCTCGAAGATGATCAGGGGCTGGAGCTCCTTCCCTACGAGGACGGACTGAGAGAGTTGGGGCTGTTCAGCCTGGAGAAGAGAAGGCTCTGGGGGGACCTTATTGCAGCCTTCCAGTTCCTGAAGGGGTCCTACAGGAAAGCTGGGGAGAGACTTTTTACAATGGCAGGGAGTGATAGAACGAGGGGGAATGGTTTTAAACTGGAAGAGGGGGGATTTAGACTGGCTATTAGGAAGAAATTCTTTACTGTGAGGGTGGTGAGACACTGGCACAGGTTGCCCAGGGAAGCTGTGGATGTCCCCTCCCTGGCAGTGTTCAAGGCCAGGTTGGATGGGGCTTTGGGCAGCCTGGTCTGGGGGAGGTGTCCCTGCCCATGGCAGGGGGTGGACTGGGGGAGCTTTAAGGTCCCTTCCAACCCAAACCATCCCGTGATTCTATGACTGAACACCTGGTTTATGAAAGGACCCACCAATATCAGCGTCTAAAAAGCCTGGATTTTTTTTCAGCCTTTGCTGCATTTAGTAAGCTAAGCTAAAGAAAGAGCAAAGTATGTCCATTGTCAGCCAGGGGTCCTCCTCCATCTACGTGCTGTCAAACTATCCTTGATCTAAAGAGATGTAAGGAATTAACAGCAGAATCTCTCTTTCTGCAATGGTCTGGGTCATGCATCCCCTCTAAGGTTTTGCAGTGAGTTATGTTTCCCCAGGCTGCCCACAGACTGCAATCAGAGGCACAGTTTCAGCACACAGAGTCCTACTCAAACGAGAGCAGGGACCAAAAGCAGCAGTGCCACAGCAACACAGATTCACTGCTCAAGTAAGCGTAAAGGACTCTGGGCTGCTGTAGTTTATGCAGAAGCACTGCTACTGCTACCACTCAAGATAGCTGAACCACCTTGAATTTACTTCCTCCCCTATGCGGTGCCATCTATGTCTTTGCATGCAGTGTTAGGCACCCTATTGAACAACTTAGAGGAATGGAGCCACTGCCTTACCACTGCTTGTATTTCATAGCCAACTCTTTCCAGTATCTGGTTTCCTCTTCCACTGAGCTGAAGTGATGTCCTTCTGAGTCTTCCATGATGAGTTCTCAAAGTTTAAAACTCCCGTTTCATTTTTTTTCCCTCCTGGAAAATTAAAGGATTAAGTGTAAGAACTAATGCAGTGAGCTACCTCAGTACTTTTTGCTGCAGAGCAGTGCTCCTCCCCGCCCAGGCCACTCCAGGTCACTGCACACCTGGAGACCAAACTACAGACCAGCCTTGACAGTACTGTCAGGTATACTGTAAATCTGAAAGAGTCACTACTGAGTAATTAGGTCCCTTTCCTCAGTTCTCCCAAGGCTGCTGCATGCTTATGCTACATCCCCAGCAGTAAGCACCATCCCCACCCTCTGACTACACAGCTCAGAGGGCCAAAATTCAAACTTCAGTCATGGTTGTGCCAGAACACCAGTGAAAGAGAAGACACCTCAGGCACAACTTCAGCTCCAAAGACAGAGCAATTAAGGTTGATTTCAACAACCCTAAAGACACTTACCATGAAATTAAAGAGAAACTTCAAAGATACATAAATAAGGTACTCAAGATACTAGTTTCCTGTGTTAGTGTTTCCAGGAATACCTAAGCTTCTTACGGACATAACTGCTGGGCACATGAAAAATTTCTCCCTAGGTCAACATAGACAAAGCTACCCAACTAAATCTGAAATATCACAATCCCCATACAGCTGAGAGCCACAATATTGCTGGATACCTCAGAGAGCCATGGGAGAAGAGAGCTCCAGAAATTCCCAGGGAAATAAGGATAAAGGTTCCACAGAGGTTTTAGTGGGATACCACCTGGCTGGACTAGGTATGCAGATTGCAGCAACCCAGTGATCAATCCAGACCATTCAGCTGTCTCTGGGCCAGCGTAAAGCCAGTCACAGGACAGAGTCCTAAATGGGAAAGACACGTGAAAGAGCCACACGGGAATCAAGAACCTCAAGCTGGTCACCCCTGCTTGAAGACTAAAGTATCTAGACACCACAATTAAATAAATGCCCTCTGATATGTCTGACACATTCTAATAAACAGGTTATTAGCGAATACCATTTTATATGAGTTAGCTTTGACAATGGAGAAACATCAAATGTCATGCTCTGTTTAACCTGCCCATCTTCAACCCTGAGTGAGGCAAAGATTCCACATAGACATTATCATTTTAATAGAAACCCAGATAGATCAAGGACAGAAAACAAAGAGTTGAATAACGCAAGACAATGGCAGTCGTCAGAAAACTGTAATGAGTGAGGAAACAGTTCTACCAAGTTTCAGCTCCGGGTCTACTGAGCAAAACATTTTCTAGAGGTAATCCTGATGGAATAAAGAAAAAAAATAGCGGAAGCCTTCAAAGATAATTTCATTATCGGTCCTGCCTTCTACCCTTCTTATCTACGATATTCAGGAAATGCTGGAGTAGACCTTCTGAGCAGCATGTCAATACATCACACGGTGGTTTCATTTGTTCGAAAGAAGACACGTAGCTTTGTCTAATTAACATTTTGTGTCGAGAAACTGAATTATAAAAAGTAAAGCTTAGTAACTTTTCCCCTCACCTGCCAGGTCCCCTTCTAAATGATAGTGTAATTTCTCTCAGTAATTTCTATACTTATTCCACAGAGATGACACAAAACGGCAGGGATCGTTTCACTACTGATCCATGACACAGGCACATGGTTTATTGTCCATAACACACAAGGAAGACCTCTTAGGCTCCCTGTACACTTGCACTATGTCTTAGCTCGCAGGGATTTTCAAGCTAACCAACGATGCAAGATACAAATGGAAAAGAAAAAATTCTGAGTTTTAGACAAAGTATTAAAGCTTCTTCTGATTTTTGGAAATTTGTTTTAAAAAAACCCCACAACACTCACATAGATCTTTCTAATCTGCCCATAGAAGTGGTAGGACTTTGACTTTTTGTTTTCCCCTCTGCTGCCTTCTCCCCTTAATTTTTAACAGCTTGAAGACGCAAGCAAAAATGCCTGGAAAGTAATTACTTACACCAATTAGCAACTTCTCATTGCCTAGGCTCACTAAAAAGGGAGTGGGGGGCAAGGGGGTGAAGGACGTTTTAGCAATGTTTTGTTAAACATTGGCAAGTGTAGAAAAAACAAGGAAAGTCACAATCAAGACACACACTGGCTGCACCTTACTTGTTTTTGCACACATGAGGCCAGAAGAGACAGAAGAGCTGGCCCGGCTTCCTGTGTGAGAGCAGCACAAGTGCTGGCCAGAGACATTACAAAACCTCTACATCATACAGGAAGTGGAAGCGTTCATGGGTGGGGAATGAACTTCTGCAGTTAGAAAAATACCTCAGCATAAGTGTTGCAGGAAACAACTTTATACAACTGCAAGCAGAATTGAAAAACTCTTAAGGGGCGGAAAAAATTAAGAAAAGCTACACACAAAATTACTGAAGGAATTTCAATTTGAGAAACAGGTTCACCAAATTCATGAGGACCTCAACTTAGATTCTGTTTCAGTGCTAGAAAAAAGGACTCAAAACAATGTTACACACTGAATACTTCTAATTTTTGCTTGGTGAACTATGTTGGCCCATCTTTGTAGCAATGCCTGATGGTCTGAGAGAAATTAATATTGTAACAAAAAATTAAGAGCAAAACAGTACCATAAATATTACGAAATTTTCCACAGCAGAGATTATTATTCCTATTAGATATTTTTTCTAACTGCAAACCAAAACAAAAACCCCCTTTTCTCCGGAAAAGTAGCTTTCCCATCCTATGAAAACTGCATTTTCTTAAAATAGTCCCCTTGCAAGGAACTTCCTGTAATATAAGGGCATACCTTCTTTTGTTTAAACAATACAAAAGAAAAGCACCACAAGCGGGAAAGAAAAGGAAGAGGTCATCGGAGTGCCAGGATTATTACAGAATCCCACAGTCAGCAATAAAGAGAGTTACCATCTTTCCAGCGTCTTCTTCACCGAAAGGCTTAATTCGGCAAAGCCCTCATCTTTTTCAGGCACCACTTAGGCTCCAATACTTTTGGGTTTCCACCGATTGCTAAAGAAACTTCGCAAAGCTTTCTCTCCCGAAACGCCAGAGCGTCTCTCCCTTCTCCACCGCACCGCGCGGCCCCGCACCGGCAACGGCCGCTCCGCCCGGCCCGACCACCGGCCCCCCCGCCCGCCCCGACGCTGCCGTCCCATTGGCTGCCGGTCACGTGCCGCAGGGGCTCTGCCAATCGGCGCCGCCCGAACGCGCCCGTTGGAAGGTTTGGAAACTTTGGTCACTTTCAAAAGCCGCCCGGGGCGGGGCTGCTCCGCGCTTGGTCTGGCCCCGCTCCTGTGCCCCAGCCCCGCGCTATCGTCCCTGGCTCCGTGCATGCTCGCGTTCAACCCTGTCACGCTAAACCCTTTCCGCGGTGTTTCATGAGCTACAGCGGGCACGAGAGCCTGCATCTTCTAAGACGTTAATGGGGTAAATCGGCATTTGCCACCATACTGTAATTTTATATGCGTGTTCTCCCTTGATGTGCTCTGAAAGAAGCAAAGCTTTACAACAATTTTTTTTTTTTAATTCCAAAGTCCTCTTCTGAAAGAGTGAGACAGTGACGGTAACTATTTAATGTCAGAGCAACATTTTCAGGCTACAGTCCGCTTTTCACAACCAAGGAACAGGCTTCTACAAGGACAAGGCAGTCTATTAGACACTTGCACTCATCTGCATCTCAGCATGATGTCATCATTCCAGAAAGACCCGCAAGGATCCACAAGGGAACAAGCTCCGCACAGACAATGGGAGCTCAGTGCAGCCGCTGAACCACTCGTCACCGCCTCACCGTGCAGAGCTGGTGTGAAGGGGCTGAGGCACGCAGAGGCTTTCCCAGTGCTGGAGGTGTGTTCTTGCCCAATGGCATACACAAACACTTGGTCATCAGGTATGTCTGGCATTTGTATCCCGAGTCAGAACTAAAACACAAATTATCACCTACGTGCAGATGCACTCCAGCCCACGTAGGTATGGCCATACGTCACCGAGTATCACTTCACACCCCTACACTGTGCTCTACACCCTGTACAAACTGCTGGACGATAGGTACCCACACACCAGGGCCCCAGAATATTCCACTAAGAGAAATCTAGCCACAGCTAAGATAACTTTAACTGAAAGGAGTGAGCAAAACGATTTTACTTTCAGGACAGATGTTCAGCAAAATAAATGTATTTTGAGCTCAGTTGTTCAGCAGAAGTAAATGGAGACAAACTATTATACAACTATGAATAGAAAATTAAATTAGGTATTTAAAAAATTGGGTTAATAGCGATTTGCAGTTCTGTCATTACTCAATAATGGTTTTATTATCAGATAAGTTACAGAAAATAAACCACATATTATCAGAGTATGTCCCCAGTAAATAAAAAAGTTATATCTTTCTCACAAGTTTGGGACAAAGAATGTTTTACTCCAACTCTTCCAATAAATCTTAGAGGATAATGCGAGCACACATTATATCAAAGGTACATCTGAATATTTTTAATAGTTCTCATCCTGAAATAATTGTAAAACAGGAAAAATCCCCAGATTTCAGAGGAAGCTCTTTAGTCTCTCATCCAATTACAAAACAGTGTAAGAGCACCCTAACAAATGCCAGAGGTTCAGAGACACTACTATAAATATTTGAAAAAAGGTTACTATAATTACTATTGCTGCCTTGTTTGCAAGAAGAATTAAAACATTTGTTTTCTATTAAAATTAACAGAAGAGGCAAAGAAGAAATTATGTGTTTATTTGTTGTTTGCTGATTAATAATTAATAAATGACAAAATTCTGTGGTGCTAGGGTTCATGTGCTGGTTAGTTTAATGAGAATGCCACGCTGACTCTTCCATGAAAGCTAAGTGGGCAAAAATGTCTACACTTTAAGATCTAGTAAAGCTGCAGCACTTATCTTTTTGCAATAAGCTTTCTACCAGAAAAAAGATTAGCTGTTCTGCAAGAATTAAATAACTCGCCACAGAATAACTTAGTGCATGGATGGAACAGGACCTGATCATCAATTGTCATGACAAAATAATGTTTTTTTTGTAATGGATTACTGACTCCCATG